CAAGCGCCCTCATAGTAGCAGACGCCACGAGCATATGGCAGCCAGCGCCATCCCACCCTTCTGAAGGTAGCTCTAACGTAGGGGCTGATTTAGCCGTGTAGAAGGTAGGGGATAAAGAGCTCCCCACCCGGCCAAAAAGCAAAAAAAAATCAAGGGATTTGTAGCGGATTTGAGTTGTAACCTCCTCAGTTACTAGCTAGCGAGTGACAAAGTCAACAGTTTGTTGACTCAAGACATAAGTGCCATCATCCACTACAAATGCTTCATGATTGTAGATTCCTGGAAGACGCACACCCCTCAGGTCCGTGCTGAGATGGACAGACTGCTTTCAGTAAGTGTACAACTTTCTTAATTTGTTAATTGTTTTCTTTACTTATTTAATATGGTTTTAAACTAAAAAAATTGGTTTTTAGTGGGACATGGCGGGCAAGACTTGTGTCGAGTATATAGACCAGGTGTGAAAATAGCAGTATAAGGAATGGAAGTACGAGTTGTACAAGCACTGCCAAACTTGTGCGTCATCTGAGGCGACTCCTACAAATCCACCCGAGGAGTTTGTGGAGATGACGGGCGAGTGGATGTGCACTCATTTCAGATAGAAAAATTTCATGTAAGTTTTATTTATATTTTAATTTTAGTTCTTTTTTATTTTTTAAGTTAAATTTAATTAATAAATTTACACAAAAAAATTGGCAGAAAATAAAGGTATTCAGGAGAAGAAACCGTACCTTCATCACTAAAGTTCTTAACCCCTATCTTACCAAGTCGAGGAAAGGTGGGCGACTGGTTCTCATTTCCCAGAGGTGAAGGTTTGGGGGGAGACGCATTCCAATTATGGCAACGAGATCGCGAACAACATTTTTGTAAGTATTTCTTTCTATGTTTTAATTACAAGTTTTCATTACAATAAATAAGGTTTAAATTATGATCGACAATCTTAATTGGTTTCCTTTATTTATTTATTTTTTGTAGGCTTCTATGATATAGAAGAAGAACAAGTACTTTGCCAACCTCTCATAGCAACAACCAAATATGCCTATGGAGGAGTTGACACCGGATGCAAAGGTGTCTTTATAGTTGCTAATGGATGGGGTGGGCCGACGAAAAGGGAATGAAGTTCACGACCTAGGAGCGGGTCAAATTTGGTAACTTGGTGGTCTTATTCTTCAATAAGCTCTAATACTTCGTCTGAGACTGATTCCAGACTTTAGTAGGTGGAGATATAGCTAGTGCACAAAAAAGAAGAAGTTGAGTGTCAAAAAGAATACGCAACGTGCCTGTCATAAGTTGTTGCATGCGACTAAGAATTAATGCGCATGTACTTCGCTATGGTAGCACAATCTTTGTCAACTTCTGGCATAAGGATTCTTGAGCTCCCGGCCGACCTTTAGGAGTCATTCTCCTACCTCAACACCCACCTGAGTAGCTTACGTTCCTTTGTTCAGTTTTTTTTTTTTTTAATATAATTGTACGAACAACTTTATTTTAGACGTAAATAAATTTTTTTTTTGAAGTTGTCATAATCATAGCTTCTAAATTAATATAATTAGAATTAAATAAGTTTTTGTTATAATTTTTTTAATATTTAAAAAATAAATAAAAAAGTTAGCCCGATGAATTGTTTCGTCGAGTAAACAGGTTATTATTTTATTTATTTTTTTAGTTTCTTAGAGTTTACCTGATGATTTATAACATTATTTAATTATCTTGGCCCGACAAGGATTGTCTGCCTTCCTTGTTCCCATGCCCTCCTATTTGTGTGGTCACGGTTAAGCCACGTCAACATTTTATATTACTATCTATTTGTGTCTTATTATCTCTATAAAAAAACAATATAAAATGTTGACGTGGTTTAACCGTAAACACACAAAACAAGAGGGCACGGGAACAAGGAGGGCAGACAATCCTTTTCCCCATGAAATATCCTTGTCGAGCATGATGGTTTTGTTGGTTTAGTTCGGTCAACGCGCATTCGTTCGACGACTTTATTCGTCGGGCAAATTTTGTTTGACCAATAGTTTTTTCTTTGTATCAAACTTTGAGCAACAGGTTTTGCCCAACTAATCTTTATTGACGAACCTTAATCCGCTAAAATTTACAGTGACGAAAGCAACTTTGAGCCGACGAAACTTTTCCGTCTGGTGAGATGTTTGTTTTTGTTTTGAATTATTTCTCTTTGAAAATGATTTTTTTCTCCTTTTAGATTCTACCATCCAATTCTTAGAACAGTGTAAGAAACTGATAACAACTGATAAAAAGTGTTAGAAACTGATAAGAAGGAAATAAAATAACAAGAGCAGTATTTTGCTTTCTTGAATCAGCAGCAACACGCTCACCAGCTCTAGTGTGATCCAACTTTTACCAGCTAATAACAGGCCATAATTTTGATCAATTCCGAAGAATACATCTCCATCAACTGCCTGCATCGCTAGTCATTGTTGATTAGCTGCACGATCCAACAATAATTACTCAGAAATTTCAGACCTAGAAAAAACCATTACAACAAAAAAAACTTGTCCATTTATGATGAATATCAACCTGTGACACCCCAAATCTATAATTGGGAATACTCATGAAACCTCGCTTCAACTAGTACCAAAATTTATTTCCCCACCGCGTGCATTCCCTATGTGGGATTCGGGATGTCACACAGACACCGTTCCAATTATACTATTATTGGTTGAAATAGGTAAATCTATATATACTAAAGCCCAGTTCCCCTCACTGTTCATCATGTGAGATGGGTTACTGTTTACGGACAGTGTGTGGATGAAAACACCCTCCAAATGCTTCTTTCTGTGGCATTTTTTGTGCTTTTTCACAGTAAAAATGCAGTTTTACCCTCATTTGCCTACGTGTCCCTCATTGCTCCGCCTTCTTCCTTTGTTTTTCTGCTTTCTTCTTTCTCTGTGCACATTGCACACGCGTCCTCATCCGTGTGCCTTTTCGTTGGATTTTCTTACTGCTATACACGTGTTCTTCATCCTAGAACGGAAGAAAGATGGAAAATCAAGGCTCTTCCATTTTGATGAGCTTATTAAGTCTTGGATAATTTATGAATTTAAGATCTTCAATTTTAGTATTTAAAGAGTAATATGTGTTTTATTTATTTATTATGCAGCAGTTAAAGAAGGGTGCGAGGAAACTTTATAAAAGATTAAGGAAGGTGAATTGATAATGGTATTTAAATTTTAACAATTCAATTTCTTATAATTGGGTAAATGCTGGCATTTAATAGTACTTTGAAGATGGATTTTTGACTTTGAGTTTTGACTCTTTATTGTGCATTTTTTTTATTCAGTCTTTGGCAAGCCATAATACATGATAAACAAAATAATTGGGTTTTAGTAAATATTGATTTTGTAAAATTCTTTATTTAAATTTCTAGGTTCTGATGAATTCTCATTTAGAGTTGGTGACAACCAATTGACTCACCACCGACTTTAGATCAAGATTCAAGTATGCCTTATATTTGTAAGTCATGTTTTCATTCTATTTTGTTGATTTTGTCATCACAATTTATTACAAAGTTGGGATATCGGTTAATTTTTAGACTTGGATTTTAAATTTTTATTCGTATTTATGGAAAATTGCAGAAAGAATGCATTAAGATTCAGCTCTCCGATCCGAACGACCTTAGGCCATCTCCAACCGAAGGGTCCAGAGGGCCAGAGGGCCGAAAATAGCCCTAAAACCGTCTCCAACCGAGGGCTAGGCCAGAGGGCTCTGGAATCTGGGAGGACCCCACGGGATCGGAGAGGGCTGGAGGGCTGGAGGGCTGGCTGCTTTCGGCCAGCCAGCCAGCCCCGGGCTGGCTCTTTTTTTTTTTAATGTTTTGTTATTCCTGTCGGTTATAACCGACAGGAATACATGCTATTATTTAATATAATAAATAATGGTGTATTCCTGTCGGTTATAACCGACAGGATTGTTTTAAAAAAAAATTCAAATGAAACGGCTACTAGCCGTTGCATTTGATTTGTTTTTTTTTTTTTACATTATTATTATTCTTTTTTATTTACAACATTTTTCATATAACTTCTATTTTTTCCTATAACTTCTATTTCACAAAATTTGGTTTTTTTTAAATTCCATTTTTTTCCTATAACTTCTATTTCACAACTTCTATTTCACAAAATTTGTTTCATATTTTTTTTTCCTATAACTTCTATTTCACAAAATTTACTTCATATTGTTTTTTAAATTCCATTTTTTTCCTATAATTTCTATTTCACAAAATTTGTTTCATATTTTTTTTAAATTCCATTTTTTTTTCCTATAACTTCTATTTGACAAAATTTGTTTCATATTTTTTTTAAATTCTATTTTTTTTCTATAACTTCCTAAGCCATTATACAACATTAAATTAAATTAAGTAACATGAAACAACATTAAACAATATGAAACAACATTAAATTAAATTAAGTAACATGAAACAACATTAAACAATATGAAACAACATTAAATAAAATTAACCAACATAAAAATTATACAACATGAAACTTAAACAACATTTTAGTTGTAGTTTTTAAATAATAAATTATGTTTGGCCCTATGGCCCTTTGGCCCTCGGTTGGAGACGGTTTTTTGTGATAGGGCTAAAACGAGCCCTCTGGCCCTCTGGCCCTCGGTTGGAGACGGAGGCAAATATGGCCCTGTACTGTTCATTAAAATATTAATATCTTGGAGAATCTTGGAGGGCCAGAGAGCTAAAACGAGCCCTCTGGCCAGCCTTCGGTTGGAGATGGCCTTAAGATTGAAGGCTGAATTATTGTAAGTCTGTCTTCTGTCACATGTTTACCCATATTCTTCTGTCCAATCATTTCTTGACACTATATTAGTAATCCCAATTATTATAGGGATTAGCAGATTAAGATCTATTTAGATTCTTTTGAATGTAAATAGTATTAATCTTCTTACAATCTTTCATATGTTTGCACAATCTTCCATACAATTTTTAATCCCGCAGCAACGCGCAGGCATCGATTTCTAGTTGACTCTAACCTCCAAAAGTGTATCAATTTCTGAAATATGAAACTTCTAAGAAACATATTGTACGTACATATATATTTCAAGTACTTAGCAATTTTGCCCCAGACTATTTAATGTGGAAATATATAACTGAACATAACTTGCTAGAAAATATATTCTCCGACATATGCTATATGATTTGCGACAAAGAATCCACAGTACTGTATCCTGCGTTTAGTATGCTGTGACTATACATATATAGAATTTGCACCAGGTTTTGCAAAAGTGAAGGTTGCTGGAGAAGAATTCAGTACTGGGTTTAAGAGTCCTGATGACTATATAATTACCAGGATGGACCTTGAAAGTCCTATTGACTACAGATGAATGAACGTGAAATAAAAGAGGATTAAAACCACTAAAACTGATTACAAAAAAAATCCCTAAACATAATGAAATAAAAGCAAGCAAGTTTGTGATCAGAAACATACACCTGATGAGTTGGAAGAAGGCGCTAAAGATCAACCGTGTCATTGAGATTTTATTGGCAAAAACGACTACATGAAAATAATGGGTCTTCCTGAAGGTTCTTTGCTCAATGAATAATCTGAAATGCACATACATTAAGCAGTATCACTTAATGAGAATCAAGAAACAGAGTTTTGTATTTGTTAATTCTTCCAGTTTTCTTAACTCAAATGGAAGTCATACGTACCTGAATTAATGTTCCCATGTAGAGCCCTTTCAAAGCGTACTGCACCTTTTTTTTATATCGATAAGCTTGTCATAAACACACCACGGAAAGCTGATGAAATGGTTATGATCTTCACCCGCATTGTACTTGCCAAAATAAGTAGGATGATATGTTGCACAGTACCAAGCTGAAGCTTTTGCAAATAGATTATCATCGGCTCCAGCATCTAAACTAGTTCCCCTCTCATCGAACCATCCTCTAACTTCCTTCCACAAAGGCCTCACAGCCACGTCCACAGATTTTATATTCCAACTCTTATCGGGATATTTTGGCATTCTCATAAAACTTGTACCAAGTAATTCAGCCTCTGTCTTGATCCCATAAAATTCCATCAGACTTCTCAACTTATCATCATAAATGCTTTTGTAACGGTGAGCATCTTCAAGGTAATACTCAAAGCCATCCACTTCCATGTCTGGGTCATAGGACTTCTTCGAGATTTCAAAAGTGAAGGGTGTGATAGAGCTGTCATGTAGAGCAATGTCCTTCAAATCACGATAGAGAACTCCAATCACTCCGGATGATTCATAGGTGTATTTGTTAGGCTTTTCCATGAAATCCGGATAGTCCCTAGGACACAAAGTTTACAAACAAAATCCAATTGTTTGGACCTCTATTCTGGGACACAAAGGTGGCCAGCTAGTTCGCCACTCTATTGTAAGAACGTGGAATGTATTGAATCACTACGGTCCTCAAGTGTTGCACCAACCGTTGAATATCATAGACGAAAAACCAATTTAGAAGAAAAAAACGATAGGAAATTCAAATCATTGTTTCAATGTTGAAGAAAGAAGAAAAAAACAATTTTAGATTTGCAGTTCCATACTTTCCACAACAAACATAATTATCCAATAGTATTACCTCAACTGTGAACTCATGATCCAATTCTTTTGTTTGCATTGGGCTATAATCCATAGGTGGGAATTTTCGGGGACGAATCAGTTCTGGATCCCAAGACACAAAGTAGATATCTCCATCAAGATCACTTCCTGAACATTCATCCGGATGAGGCCTGCGATATGAACAAAATTCAAAGTCATGTTTATATGAAATATTTTGAGCTAAATTATGCTAGCAAACAAAGAAAAAGTACCACTTCGTAAACAATTATAAAAGTCAGAAGAAGAAAAACAAATGTCTTACCGTGGTTCTTTTTGTGGGAAGACAACACAGTCCACCATATGATGCAGAGCTAGTACATCTACAGCCATTAAACCTCGGACATCGCCAGGGTGTAAACATGGGCTTTTTCCAACCACTACTTGTTCCTCAACTATGAAGCGCTTACCACTAAGCGTGACCGAGTCATAAAAAAACTGGCTATGTCTAGTGCCAAAGCATTGCAAAAACACCTGTCCATATTCTAAAGTTCCAGTTTCATCTAGACATCCCATTAGTGATCTTCCATCTGGTATCAAAATCCTTGTTTTAGTCCGCAATTCCATCAACTGTACTTCCTTGAAAGTTCGCAGCATCATTGCAACAAAGGGTTCAACATTAGGTTCATAGCCACAACTTAGCAATTCCTTGAGGATGTTTGTAATCTCTCCTGAAGAAATTAAATCTAGCGCGTTCTGTGCTTTCAAGGGATCATTCAGTGTAGCCTCCAGCTCTCGTATACAAAATCTCTGTTTTTCCTTGAAAACATCATCCTGAACTCCAAGGGTAGACAAAAGAGTAATCAACTGGCGATTTAGGAAACAAGGACACAACTTACTCCATGCCAAAACATCTAGCTTTGTTGTTTTTTATTCAAATTTGCACATGCTTTTTCTCAATGATAATTTCATTGATGAGGTTGGATTAACTGCTACTATACCTTTGTATCCACCATATCGAATCTGAAAGGCAGAGGAGGTACATCTGCCAGGAGTAGGTACATCTGCCAGATGGAGTTTATTCAAGTCCTCGTCAACAAATGAAACACGAAGAAAGTTATCTATATCCTCTCGATGGTTTCGTAGAACAAGGTTTGACATTATAAGCTCCGGACCACAAAAATACACTTTGCACGGTGTTATCATGACTTTGTGTACATAAACGAACCCAGAATCTAAGGATTCCCTTGGTGGAGGGTTGTCTGTTTCTGAGGTCGTGTACTTCTTAAGCAACTTTGAAGGTTCATAACAGATCTCTTTTAAATGAAATAATTGGTTGAGGGCATACTGTATCAAGTGAGAATTTGTTTGGCTTGAATCAACCAACTTATAGAAGTCTTCATCAAGTGTTGGCCATGAAAGACGACCATGCTGAACCAATAAGTTGATTTTGAACAAAATAGAATACGGCAAATCAACGCTTGGAGGAGAATCAACAATAGGGACTAAATCATGGTAGCAAGAAAGAGCAGAACTAGTCTGCAAAATTAAGTTCCCTATCCTCACTTTATAAGAAGCAACGCATTTTCTGTAATCTGGAAGTTGGCAACCATAAGGAAGCTCCAAACATATTGCAGAAGACTGACCAATACAGTATGATGGAGTGAAATCAACACTTCTTATCCATTGGTCATTAGGGTTATCCTTGAAATACTTCATATCAAGGTCTTCATAATCCTGATGTAATTTTTTTGCATATATTCGAGGAGCGCCATTTAGCTGATAATAAAGGAAAGGACACATATATAATTCAATAAGAAAAAGATACTTCTTAGCTTAGAAAAAAAAATAGTGCGGCTGAAAATAATTAGATTACTCAAAATCATGGAAACCAGAATTAAAAATGCTCCGACAGTAGTTAACAAACACTTTTGAGTTAATAGGGCCTTTTTTCTAGTTTGATAGAATATTGTCATTACTAAGTAATTAATTGAAGTTTTAAAAGACACCAAAACAAGACCTTGAGTTTTTAAAACTACAAATTGTCTAATTCTCTCTCCATCTGCAGTTGCATTATCTAGGTCAACATAAGATTTTGTTACCTTTTCCATAAAACACTTGGGGTAAGTCAACAACTCCCCTATTTTCTTTGACAAAAAAATAAAACAACTCTCCTATCTTCTACTCCGTGGCTCTCTCCTACATTGATAAACCGAAATCCTGAAGTGGTTCTCCAACAGTTTCAAATCAAAAATTAGTTGTGCTCTTGTTTCCGTTGGAATTGGAAGAGGTTGATTTTCTGGTGCTCCAATCACAGGCACTATTTGTCAAAGAACTAGGAAGGAGGAGCTTTCAGACCAGTTTGTCTAATTTACTACATAGATAATCATGTAATTCTTTTCTCTTTTCTTTTATTTGTATTATTCGTACAAATACACGAGCTCTAGTCTGCAGCGGCAGCCATATTAATTTTGGAGGGAATTGTCACGCTAGTCGCGACTATAGGAGAAGAAGAAGATGATGACGACATAGGAGTTTCTGACTTACAATGAGTTTTGATGCAAATTAAAGAAAAAAAGGTGAAATTTTTCCTGATCTGAACTAGTGAAAGCAGTTGGATATATAATTTCAAATGCAGACAAATGAACACATGCATGGTGGCATGGTGCATACTAGCTAGTAATATACATTGTATTCACAATGTTAATGTTGGATAGTGGCCAAATTAGTGGCCAACTTGGCATCCACTTTCGGCTATTAAACAAAACAAAAGAATGAAAGACAAAATGATGAGGGAACATCATGATGAGGAGGCATCATGATTATGTTTCCTTGTTTTGTGGCTTTTTCAAAGCCATAATTATTGGTTTTCTTTGGATGGAAAATAAGAGAGAAGTGAGAGCTCATTTTTTTGTAGAGAGCAGGAGAGTTGCGGAGAGCCCAAAAGGAAGAAGAAGTTGCTGCTTCATTTGGTTAGTAATCATCCACCAAAGTAGTTGTTGTTGTAATAGCTTTGAGCTATATGTATAGAGAAGAAATTATTCATTATATTTCTTTCTCTATTTGTTTATGTGGTGTGTGAGAGCTATTGGGTGTATTGGGTTATTTGGGTTGTGAGATTGCCAACACTTTGTAAACTCCCAATTGGTTGATAGTGAATTATTGGGTGAGCTCCTACTGCTCCGAGGACGTACTCCAGTTACACTGACTGTTGAGGAACCTCGTTAAAATCTTGGTGTCTTTTATATTTTTGTTCTTGCATTTCATTTGATAAATTTCCTGTGGGTTAGCTTGAGTTGGTTCCATTTGGTTTGGTGCTATCCTAGCACAACAATTGGTATCAGAACACTGGTTGCTCTTGGGTACTGTCTAGTTGCCAAAGATGTCAGATGAGCAAGATGAGAATCATTTTGGAAGCAACTCCGGGTTTGCAAGAACTACGGTGCAAAATGCAAAGTTCGAAGTGAAAATGTTTGATGGCACAAACAACTTCGGGATGTGGCAATGTGAGGTCAAAGATGTGTTGGCTCAACAAGATCTACTTGCCACTTTGGGAGAGAAGCCAGAAGCTATGTCAAAGTCGGAATGGGAGAAATTAAATTTGTGGACTTGCTCTTCAATTCGGTTGTGCCTTACAAAAACTCAGAAGTATTTTGTGATGCGGGAGATATTAGCAAGTGTGTTGTGGCAAAAATTGGAAGACAAGTATATGACAAAGAATGCAGAGAACCGACTACACTTGAAGAAAAAACTCTACCGCTTCCAATACAAAGAAGGTACAAAAATGATTAGACACCTTGATGCTTTTAATAAGTTGATTTTCGACTTGTTAAATTTAGATGAGGATATTAAGGATGAAGATAAGGCCTTAATATTGTTGAATTCCTTGCCGGACTCTTATGAGCATTTTGTTACCACTATTATGCATGGTAAAGAAACTATGAAATTTGAAGATATGTCAAATGCCTTGATGAATTATGAAATGAGACATAGAGATAAAAATCATGATAGTACCTCTGAAGCTTTATTTGTTAGAGGTAGATCATCGGAAAGAAGATTATCTTCTAGTAAAAAAAATCACAGTCTCGACCTAGAGGAAACTCTAAAGGTAGAAAACCTTTGGAAAGGGATGAATGTGCCTTTTGTCGTAATAAGGGTCATTGGAAGAAAGATTGTCCTAGATTGAAGACCAAAGGCAAAGAAAGTTCTGAAGCTAATGTTGCTGAGGTTGAAACATATTTTTCTGATTTTGCTTTAACCACTTCTTCATCATTTGATTGTGCCACTAAATGGGTGTTGGATACTGGTTGTACTCATCATATGACTCCTCACAAGGATTGGTTTTCAAGCTTGAAAGAGTTTGATGGTGGCGTTGTGTTCATGGGAGATGACAATCCTTGCACAACAAAAGGGATTGGTACAGCTCGTTTGAAGTTGCATGATGGTATGGTTAAAGAGTTGATAGGTGTTCGGTATGTACCGAATTTGAAGAAAAATCTTATTTCTTTCGGTACTTTGGAATCCAAGGGCTTCAGGTTTCATTCAGATGGACAGACATTGAAAGTTACTTATGGTGCACTTGTTGTGATGAAAGCTCCTCGATGTGGCCATTTGTATTTATTGCAGGGAAGCACTGTGACAGGTGAAGCATCTGTAGTCTCTGAAAATATGGGCACATCTGATTCAGATACTACTAGACTGTGGCATATGCGATTAGGCCATGCCGGTGAGAAAGCTCTACAAGGGCTTATGAAACAAGGCCTTCTAAAAGGTGCCACGACTTGGAAGCTTGATTTCTGCGAGCATTGTGTCTTGGGGAAGCAAACTAGAGTGAAGTTTGGTACTGTTGTACATCAGACGAAGGGCATTCTTGATTATGTGCATTCGGATGTTTGGGGTCCTACAAGACTCCCTCTTTGAGTGGTAGACATTGGTTCGTGACCTTTGTTAATGATTATTCAAGAAGGTCTTGGGTCTACACTATGAAGCACAAGAGTGAGGTATTAAGCATTTTCTTGGGTTGGAAGAAAATGGTTGAGAACCAGACTGGGAGAAAGATTAAGATTTTGAGATCAGATAATGGTGGTGAATACACATCCGACCCTTTCTTTAAAGTTTGCAAAGAAGAAGGGATTGTAAGACATTTCAGTGTCAAGGGAACTCCACAACAAAATGGAGTTGCAGAAAGATTGAATCAAACCTTGCTTGAAAAGGTTAGATGTATGTTGTCTCAGTCGGGTTTGAGCAAGTCATTTTGGGCAGAGGCAGTTAATTATGCATGTCACATCATCAACAAGTTACCCTCAGCTGTTGTTCAAGGTAAGACACCAATTGAGGTATGGACTGGAAAACCTTCTTCTGATTATGACTATATCCATTTTTTTTTGTTCACCTGCTTATTTTCATGTGACTGAAAATAAACTTGATCCTAGAGCCAAAAAGGCTATCTTTCTTGGTTTTAGTAGTGGTGTCAAAGGTTACCGATTGTGGTGCCCAGAGATGAAGAAACTTGTAATCAGTAGAGATGTGACATTTGATGGAGAAAGTATGTTCAAAGACTCTGAGAAGAATGTGAAAGATGTCCAACATGTGGAGCTTGAGAAAGTTGCCTCTAGTACTTCAAATCCTATTTCTGTTGATGTCGAAGCCACTACAAGTGAAGAAGTTGGAGACCATGAGGATGTTGAAGAAGTTGAACTTGAAGATTCTATTCAAGTTGAAGAGCAAGTTTCACCTCAAGAGTCTATTGCCAAGAACAAAGGAAAGAGACAAATTACCAAACCAGCTCGGTATAGTGACTATGTTGCTTTTGCTCTTCCTATTATCATTGATGATATTCCATCCAATTTCGAGGAAGCCATTGAGAGTGAGGAGAAGGAGAGGTGGTGCAATGCCATGGGTGATGAGATGAATTCTCTCTTGAAGAACAAGACTTGGGAGTTAGCTAAATTGCCTAAGGGTAAGAAAGCTATTGGTTGCAAATGGGTGTATGCCAAGAAGGAAGATACTGATGAGAAAACCAATGTGAGATTCAAAGCAAGATTAGTTGCTAAAGGGTATGCACAAAAGAAGGGCATTGACTACAATGAAATATTTTCTCTGATTGTGAAGCACTTCTCAATTCGTATTATGTTAGCTCTTGTTGCATAATATGATCTTGAGCTTGTGCAACTTGATGTGAAGACGCATTTCCTACATGGTGATTGAATGAAGAGATCTATATGTGTCAACCGAATGGGTATACAGTGAAAGGGAAGGAGAATTTGTTTTGCAAATTGAAGAAATCACTTTATGGCTTGAAGCAATCTCCAAGGCAATGGTATTTGAGGTTTGATAAATTTATGAGAGGCCAAAATTATTCTAGAAGTCAATATGATCATTGTGTGTACTTTAAGAAGTTGCAAGATGGGTCTTTCATTTATTTGTTGATATATGTTGATGATATGTTGATTGCCTCAAAGAATGCTAAAGAGATTGAGAAATTGAAGAAACAAATGAAGAACGAGTTCGAGATGAAGGATCTTGGTGAAGCGAAGAAGATCCTTGGCATGGAGATCACTAGAGATAGAGAGAAGGGTTTAGTCATTTTGAATCAAAGACAATACCTTGAGAAGTTGATTCGGAAGTTTGGAGTTCATTATTCAACCAAATCGGTTAGTACCCCATTGGCTCCTCATTTTAAATTGAGTTCTCTACAATGTCCTAAAACTGATAAAGAGAAGCTGCAAATGAAAAATATACCATATGCAAATTTGGTTGGTAGTTTGATGTATGCAATGGTATGCTCTAGACCGGATATTGCTCATGCAGTTGGCATGGTGAGTCGATATATGCATAATCCAGGTAAAGAGCATTGGCAAGCAGCTAAGTGGATATTGAGGTATCTCCATGGTACTCGAGATGTTGGTTTATGCTTTGAGAGAGGTGACTCTGGTATTAGTCATTTTGCAGTTGGTTATGTTAATTCAGATTATGCAGGTGATATGGATGGAAGGAAGTCTACTACAGGCTATGTGTTTACCATGGCTAAAGGGCCAGTTTGTTGGAGGTCCATTTTGCAGTCGTCTATTGCCTTGTCTACTACAGAGGCTGAATATATGGCAGTTGCTGAAGCTATAAAGGAGGCCATTTGGATACATGGGCTGATTAGAGATTTGGGGTTGATCAGAAGTAGGTGGAGGTGCATTGTGATAGTCAGAGTGCCATTTATTTGGCTAAGTATCAGGTTCACCATGCGAGGACCAAGCACATAGATGTGCGTTATCACTTTGTTTGTGAAGGAGAAATCATTCTCCAGAAGATTCCAACTAAAGACAACCCCGTTGATATGTTGACTAAGGTTGTTGGTGTAGCCAAGTTTGTTCATTGCTTGAACTTGGCTCACATTTTGCCTATATAATGAAGACGTTGAGCAGTAGGAGTTTTGGAGCATTTGGCTCGGCATGAGTTGTTCTCTTGCTAGTGTTTGGGAGTGTTTTTGTGTTGGTTGGCTTATAATGGTGATTTTGGAATTTGGCCAAGGTGGAAATTGTTGGATAGTGGCCAAATTAGTGGCCAACTTGGCATCCACTTTCGGCTATTAAACAAAACAAAAGAATGAAAGACAAAATGATGAGGGAATATCATGATGAGGAGGCATCATGATTATGTTTCCTTGTTTTGTGGCTTTTTCAAAGCCATAATTATTGGTTTTCTTCGGATGGAAAATAAGAGAGAAGTGAGAACTCATTTTTCTGTAGAGAGCAGGGAGAGTTGCAGAGAGCCCAAAAGGAAAAAGAAGCTGCTGCTTCATTTGGTTAGTAATCATCTACCAAAGTAGTTGTTGTTGTAATAGTTTTGAGCTATATGTATAGAGAAGAAATTATTCATTATATTTCTTTCTCTATTTGTTTCTGTGGTGTGTGAGAGCTATTGGGTGTATTGGGTTATTTGGGTTGTGAGATTGCCAACACTTTGTAAACTCCCAATTCGTTGATAGTGGATTATTGGGTGAGCTCCTACTGCTTCGAGGACGTACTCTAGTTATACTGACTGTTGAGGAACCTCGTTAAAATCTTGGTGTCTTTTATATTTTTGTTCTTGCATTTCATTTGATAAATTTCCTGTGGGTTAGCTTGAGTTGGTTCCATTTGGTTTGGTGCTATCCTAGCACAACAGTTAAACCTTAGAGTAAATTGATCTCAACACTCCAAGGGATTAGTTTTCTGGAATGTGTGTACCTGAATCAAAAGATAGTCCACAAGGGTGTCAAGCGGACGATGCAACTCAATTTGCCCGATGTTCTCATAGGAAAGGTCGAGCTTATACTCCAAAGGATATGGCAGAAGAAAACGTACTTCCTTGTGTAATTGAGACCCAAAGTCCACTGAAACATCTCCTGCTGTCCACAAAATATGGAACTTTTCATTGGCAATCTTGCAACCAAAATGCACTAATATTAATTCCAAGTCGCGCACGAAGATTCTTGGCTTCGGTATAAGATCATACTTCATTTTTTTAGCTGTCAAATAGTAGGGAGCCTTGAAAGTGGAACTATCATACCGGAGACCTTCACTGGCCCTGGCCAAGGAGATAATAGACTCTGCATTTTCAGTGGAGTCAAACTCAACAGTAGCATCATAAATTCCTTCATTTTTAGGGTCTGCTAATATAATAGCATAAATACTGTCTTCTCCAGTAAGTCGCTGAAGAAACAACTTCACTTTTTGCACAGTCGCATCGGACGGGAATCCAAACAACTTTATCGTCTTAGCCATCTTTCTTCATTACATTTACAAATAAACTCACCCATCAGAGAAAATGTAGGGAGAAAATATAGAACTTTCTATGTCCGATGTATATGATACACTAAAGCATGGTAGAATTTCAAAAAAGTAATCCTTTGAGAACAAGAAAAGAGTACATGAGAAAAGGTAACTTATTCAAATGATTACCACTTGACCAAAGATCATCAACAGAGCTTAAAAAACTGATATAAATACTATATATCATTATGGAATTAAAATAGTTTGTAGCTTCTAACCAAAGATCAAAGCCTCTAGACACCAGTTGGTGTGCAAAAGAACCACCGACGACTAGGTCATGGTATTAAAACTTGGGAAAAATGAGTTATCTTAAGTAACGCTTGCACCTCAACTAGCTAGTAGCAGGCTCTGGCTATTTTTATTGTTTTGAGTGATTTTTATCATTTTTTTTTTTTTTTAATGTAGGGTGAAACAATAGTGGTTTTATTAACATTAAAAAATACATATTCTTAAAAAACGGCATCCTTTTGTTAGATTTGAAAACTCCTCACACCAACAAAAATCAAAATCAGAATATAACGCCAACTTGCCAATCTATGAACCACCATATTAGCCGTTCTACAAATATAACAAACTCGGGATGCAACAAGAGCCTCGTAACGCCCTGATATCCCCAGCCATAAAGCCAAGCAAGGGACTGTCGCCGTGCAAGCTGCCAATCAACTGGACTACATAGACGGCATCATTTTCGAGCACAAGTTGAGACCACTGTCTATCCAAAGCCAACTAAACACCATCCCTAATAGCTCACCACCACTCTGGAGCTTGTTACGTGTGATGCTTAAAGAGCAAAACCCCCAGCATAGTTAATTACCAACTTCCTCTCGAAATACCACAGTTGATGTAGAATGGCTAGTAGAGACTTTCATGGAGCAGCATGACAAGCGTTAACCAAAGAAAACTCAATCTTGACGAAGTTCTGCTATTTTAATCTTAAACATTGTTTTCCAGAAACTTGGGTTGTATTTTACGTGTTATTGCCTTGAGACTCATTTTCTAGGAACTGAGGTTCTACTTTCTCTATTATTAGTCGAGACTTTTCCGCAAGACACCTGTGTCCCGTATTGTTGATAATTTTTTAAGTGTTTAGGATTTTATTATTTTTTCTATTTTATTTTTCTTTTGGAGCTAGGATTTGGTTAGACTATATAAACAACTTTCAGGGTTGTATTTTGATAATTTTTTATATTATTAAATTATAACTTCGAAATTTTCATATTTTCTGGTGGATTCCAAAGTTCATGTTCTTTCAAGAATAACGTTGTTTATTCTTCTGACAATAATAACGTTGTTTATTCTTCTGTTTGACAAGAATAACGTTGTTTATTCCATTGAGGGTCTGGCTCCTTCCAATTGCTTTGAGCGGGAGAAAAGGGTAAGTTGCTTTAGCAGCTACAATCCAGATCCTATGTAGTCTAGCTTGCCTAATCATTTGTGACCAAGTCAAGTTTTTTCCATATCATCGCTTTCATTTAAAATTTTAATCAGAGTTTAATCATAAGTAGACAAAAATAAAAACCTTCCCACCAAACACATGCACACTTTGCTATAATAATTAGATTGTGTAAATTTGTGTCATACTGTAAGTTGTTTCTGTTCATTTTTCTTCTCTTTTACAAAATTGGCACAAGCATCATATGTGCCAAAGTTGCTATTTTTAATTAAAAAGTCATTATTCACATTACTTTTGTCATACTGAATTATTTTTAGAATAATGTCATCATTTGACTGATATTCAACTGACATGAAACTAATGTAAAATAGTTTCAAAATATCAGAAGGTGTTTGTGTAATTTCCAAAACTTCGATCGATTTCTTGAATGCGATAAACCTTATGCATGCGTGTCACTGTGTTAACCCGTCAAGCGACCTGGATGAATCGATCATCCACTTCAGCGAAAAAGCGGATCCACATGACGTCTCATTTAACAAGACAGAGAGTCTCTTGCTGTCTAAAGTCTAAAGATCAGGCAATCGGCCAACCTCTTTCGTTGACGTATCATTCAAATTGAACGACGATTCCCATTAATTCATTTTGCTGGCCAACCTCACAAACATAAGGCTTCGATCTCTCTTCACACAAACCAAGAGCTCGAATTCCTTAGTCCTTAGGCTTCAGACAGTAAAGTCCAAAGAGGATTCAAATTCCATTCAACAAACATTTTGACGAACAACTAAAGGTGGACCGAAATTGTCAACTTCGCAACATGCCTTCGGCAACCTTAGCAAGCCCCTCCTAGAGAGAAAAGCTTACATGTAACAGACGTTCCATAATGTTGCATTTCAATAATGCAACATAATGGAACGTTACCGTAGCAATGAACTAGTTCCATATAATTAATCCTTATCCTTTCTAAGCGTACGTAGAAAATTTTGTTTTATATATATGAAAGAGCTGCTAACATCAATTGCTAGAACATCCGCTCCTTCAGTCGCTCATTGCTTGGTTGATTCGTGGCTCTTCTTTGAATGTTTTCAAACGTTAAATTCAAAGGAAAACTAATGAAAATGGCTTGAAAACTTTGAATTTTAATGATAAGGACAAAATAAATGGTAAAGTGAATAGTATCAAGATTGACTTTTTAATGTAAAAATATAGTTTTTCGTTCAAGTGAACAGTACCGAAAGCTTTTCGTTAAAGTTCTCTAAATTCAACTCACAGATATTTAAAATAATAATAATAATAATAATAATTACTCACTTACCATTCACAGATTTCTCGTCGTTCCTTGTAAAAGGTTCCCAGAGCTTCCCAACCCAACGGTCCCAACCACTAGAGTTAGAAACAACTAAGAAGAGAGACAGAGAGAGTAGACTTGAATCAAACATGGAGAAGATAGAATGCTATATATTAACAAAAGCTATGGCAGAAAGATAGTAACGAAACTCACGAAAAATGAAAGGGGGCTGGATGAATGGTGGTGGAGCAGGAGAGAGCCGGATCGATAGTGGAGTAGGAAAGACGAGGATGTGATATGTATATATGTACTGTGGGTTTTTGGAGGGTAGTTACTTATTTTCGTGAAAGCAATCTTAAGGGTATTTTGTGTGAGTAATTAGTGTTTTTGTTTCTCAAGGGTGTTAATTAATTTGTTTGTGAGTGAATCTGAAAGAGGGATCCGAGAGAGGTTTGGTGTTTGTTTGTTTTTTTCAACATAACTTCTACTGTAAGTATACCATACTATGCAAAAATTTAAAAGGCCACTGAATATATTGTTTAGACGTCTCGTGTCTGCATATAATAACCTGCTGCATGTTCAAATAAAGGTATGCCTCTCTCTAGTATATTTTTTATTTAAATTTCATAATCATTCAATATTTTGATTCTTAATGATGATTGTTAGCTCCGGCTTAATGTTCAACCTCATATCTTAAAGCGGCAAATGTTGTTCTCTTTTGAGACTAGATTTTTTGTGGCGCTTGTAGTTTGTGTGCTTGGTAAAAGTTTATGAAAATGAAATTCGACATTAATTTATGGAGGTGACTGTTATGAGAAGTTCTCAGTTGACGATTGCAAGATCATCAGATGATTGTGCGGCCTAGGAGGTTCAATGTTGTACAATGAAATGAAATATAATAGAGTGATTTTACTTACACTCAAACATATAAAATGTACGTATTTATAAGGACACTAAATTTTTCCAAATGATTCTTCAAATCGTTCAGGAAAAAAAAAACGCTCCCTATCTAGAGAAATATTTAAATTAAATAATATGGTCAAGGGTTATGATGTTTGTATCTATATATTTTCTTAGGCATGGACATTAGAAAAACTAGTTGAGATAATTAAGGTCCCTTTCATCATTTGCAACATCCGCATGGAGTTTCCGTTCGAGCATTTCAAACCCTCTAAAGAGGCTTACAATGCCCTCTATCTCCTCCAGACTATAAGTTCCACGAAATAACGTAAAATTACCTCACAATTTCAAACCATCTAGATGTTGGAAAGAAAAATGAAAAGTTATAGCTAAACGATTCTTTTTTTTTTCTCAATCTTTGAGAGGGCATACAATTCCCTTCTGATGAAATGTAACCAGAGATGAAGTGCTGCTTTGGGATTCCACTTTTAATGAATGAAACTTATAAGGAATACAAGCTAACAACTTTTGAGCAGACGAAACGTATAGATATATAGTATATAAGTTAACAATAGTAAAAAAATAATAAAACCATTATCATAATAGCTAGGTTAAACCCCCACACACACATACATGTATATACATAGGCTCTTTATCCAAAGGGATCTCAATTTTTGGGTAAAAATGGGGATTAGTTGTAGGGTCTACTTTACGTCGAATTTCAACGATCTGAACGTCTATTTTGTAAGTCTCAATTCATCGATTATACTTATAAGTCGCCGCTGCTACTTGATGGTCATCAACCTTTGGTGTCTAGGAAGTAGACAACAACAACAACAACAACAAAGCCTTTTCCCACTAAGTGGGGTCGGCTATATGAATCCTAGAACGCCATTGCGCTCGGTTTTGTGTCATGTCCTCCGTTAGATCCAAGTACTCTAAGTCTTTTCTTAGGGTCTCTTCCAAAGTTTTCCTAGGTCTTCCTCTACCCCTTCGGCCCCGAACCTCTGTTCCGTAGTCACATCTTCGAACCGGAGCGTCAGTAGGCCTTCTTTGCACATGTCCAAACCACCGTAACCGATTTTCCCTCATCTTTCCTTCAACTTCGGCTACTCCTACTTTACCTCGGATATCCTCATTCACAATCTTCTCCTTTCTCGTGTGCCCACACATCCCACGAAGCATCCTTATCTCCGCTACACCCATTTTGTGTACGTGTTGATGCTTCACCGCCCTACATTATGTGCCATACAACATCGATGGTCTTATTGCCGTCCTATAAAATTTTCCCTTGAGCTTCAGTGACCTACGACGGTCACACAACACGCCGGATGCACTCTTACACTTCATCCATCCAGCTTGTATTCTATGGTT